GTAAGAAAAAGGTCGTGAACGGTCTTTGACTGATTCAACCTCAAAATACATACAAAAGATGTATAAAAGAAGTACAAGAAAAGGTTTCCAAACCATTCTTCTCTATTAACTATGTTGTTACCCAATCACTGGATTTTCAGATACATACACCTAATAAAAAAAATGCGTAGTCAGACATCATCGCAGCTAAGATCGAAAGGAAGCATTAGAAATCCAAATGTTATTACATATATAAGATTGTCTGCGCCGATTAAAATTGATCTCTACTCGGAGTAATGCTATCATGCAACTTGTTTGGGAAAATATGATTCAAATTTCTGAGCTTTGGTATTAAATTCGATGATATCGCATTTTTTCGACCCGGGAACGTTTTTTTATAATAATCACTGGAAAAAATCGCGCGCATTAAAGGTTGTAAATTTGATGTATCAAATTTACAGAATTTTGGACACTTACATCATATTTACATCAAATGTACAACCTTTAAAGCGCGCGATTTTTTCCAGTGAATTATAATATAATTATGCGATTAGTCCTCCAAGACGTTGTATTTTTACCACGGGACTCTATTTTAGATGCTTGGCATTTCGTGATCGGACGTGTGACAGCTATGGAGCTCGTGTTCACGTTAGGACATCGGACMATCGTGTTCAAGTAAGCAATTTCTTTAGTTTGAATTAGTTTGAAGAGTGTTTGTTTAAATGACCTTAAATGCTTTAATAGCTATTTATTGATTCGTAAACCCTGCTGTACGTTGCGATCCGAAGCCCCATTTTAGGTGGACTCGAAAATGGTGGATTCGTAGGATTTCTTAAAGTAAACGCGAATCGTCTTCCATCCTTTCAGTTTGGACAGAAATACCTTTAAATACACGGGCACTATCAATCTATAATCTATTGTATGCTTGACGCATTTCAACGTGTGTAAATAAACAATAACACGAGCGCGCGCTGCATTGTCGTTGGTTGGGATTCTTTAATAAGTGAAATGGAAGCAGTCCATTTCAATATCTCATTTCATGTGAATCTTATTTTTTATAGACTCAAGAGATAGGATCGAGTACACACTTTCTTGGCCAGAGTGAACTAACAGCTCATTTTGGCCTTGGTACAAGTAATGACAATGTTACCGTACTCGTTACCTGGCCTACGTCCTCGTTTCAAGTCATTTTGAATAACGTAAGACCCAACAGAAAGTATAGAGTCCACAAACCAAGGTAACAC